AGTGTTCAAAATTTTTAGGGGGGGCTTGTATTATGAAGGGGCTACTATTACGACTTTCGTACAAAAATTTTCAGAAAAAAAAGGAGATTTTGAATTTCGATGCTCTTGCCTTTCTAATCAAGGTAATCTCAATTAATCTGAAAAAAATCTTTTTCGAGATAAAAAATGTGACTTTTATTCTTTTCCTTTTTTTACACACGACATCACACAACAACAATTAAAGTAAAAAAACGCGTTTCGATCAACATCTGAGTTCGTGTTCAAACTTTGTAGTATGATTAGACTGTAGTAGTTCATGTAGGTAGAGTCGGACGCTGGTGCAAATAACTCCTGTTTATAAGAATATATCATCAGAATATATAATAAGTTACATAATCTGTAAAAGAAAATAGTAAGAATTATAGCTACGAAGGATTGCTAAATTTCAATACTTGTTCACTACATAATGGTTGAGAAGAAAACTAAAGGAGATGAGGTCCGAAGTGGATTGGTATCGAATACGTAAAAAACCTACAAAAGCGGAAGTTTTCATTGTACGTTAGAATGCATAATCAGACAAATCGAAAGTACTGCCTGCCTACTACAGATCTATTCACACCACACGACCTCATCATTTTTTCTCATCTTTTTGAAAACAAGGTAACGCTCGTCTGCACTCGCTCGGTCGCTTGACCTTAGTAACTTATTTCTGCGAAGGATCTTCCATGAGTTAGAATTAAAGGCAGCGCTCACACTTCCCTTCAATCGTGGTCGCTAGCGGACTATCCAAATTATGATATGAATTTTTCTCTGATTTGATATTTAAGTTTCATAATCTAACATAAACCTAAAACGTTTTCTTAATATAAATGTCTACCCAAAGATCTAAAAATATTTCTCACATCAAAACAATACTCTTGCCTCCCTTCGATCTGCGTTCGCAGCCAGGAGAGGTAAGAAATGCTGTGAACTTCTCTGATTCCGCACAAAAATGGCACAATATGATATAAAGCTAAAAGGTTTTCTGGCCACCCTCTGAAGATCCGAAGGAGGGCTGCAAGTATTTCTAATGAATTCGTCACGATAGATTATCTACATATGAGAGAAATCATCATGATTAATGTTTTCAAATAGGCGTTGAGATAGAGATCTTTGGGTGTCCCAAGTCAAAGTTCAGCACAAGTTCTACGAGTTCTGTTTCCACTAAGCTCCCGGTAGCCCGTTCGTGTTCTGTTTGCGTTTTTCTAGTGACACAAACCTTCTAAGCTTTGTTTAAGCTAAATTCTTTGACTACTTCAACCCACTCTAGTGGATACTTGACCCAAGTACTTGGGTTAAGTAATGAGGACAGTACTTGTTGACTTTTCTAAATAAAATGTAAGTACTTGGCTTACACAATGCAACTAAATTTACTTCAAATGCTTCAGTCAAATACTTATTCCATTTATCTTTATTTTGTATTTTGTACGTATTCTACAGCTATACTCTACTTTTGTAGAGCAAATACATGTATGGCCACTAAGTTTGTTCAACTCACTAGGAATATATAAGTTTATTTTATAAGTGTATCATGATTGATATTTTGGTGTTTATATGCAAACAGTCAGTGGAGACTGGCTTGGCCAAGTACTTGACTGAAGCAAGTCAAGTAACGGCCCCTGGCAAGTTCTTGATCAAGTGCTTGCCAAGTGCTTAACTTGACGCGTACTTTCCAAGTACTCATCAAGTAATCAAGTACTTGTGCCAAGTACGTTCACTAGGGTAGACTCTATTCAGGAGTCAACTGTTTAAAACCACGCTCCGGTGCTTAGAACTCGTAAACGTACGCTCCTAATATTTCATTGATTTTAACTGCACAAGCTGAGCTGTAAAAAAGTGCTTGAATGTCTTCTTTGTTTTTGAGACGTAATTATTGAAATAATTGAGTGAAAGCTCAATTGCGGATTTTATTTTCCATTTTTTGCTCATTTCTTTTTATGTTTTCATTCACGACACTTGATTGCTTTTAATTTAAGTGTTTGTTCCTTCTGACAAAAGCAACTTCTATTAAAAGTAAAGGATTACTTGAAAAGTGAAAAAAAGTCGAAGAAGAAAAATAATAACAGAAGAAGAGAGATAATGCTAAACAATGAAGTTTAGAAGGGAGGACAGAACAGAGAGAAAGAATGTTTCAATCTTTAATTTTAGATGATATATAAGCAATAGTGAGAGAGATTATAAAGATCGAAGAAAGTATTTTGCACCGCGAGCCAAACGGTATCTAAATATCTGCTGGTTAAACATAAGCTATCAACCACAGTGTTAGTAAAATCGTGTTGTTTCATGTATGAAATTTAAGACACTTTCAAATAATTCCTGTATCTTATTGATTTCAAGATGTAAAACTGAATCATGTCTCGGCAAAATGTGTTTTAACTTAACAGAATTTGTATCGATCATCTCCTGAAAAGTGTCTTCCATACTCTTGCGCTCCTTCAAACACTTATTCTTTTTATATTAAAAGATGCACAGTTTGTTCTGTACAAAACAGCATAAGCTGCGTTTTATGCACTAATTTTTGCCCGGTACAAGTAGGGTCAATTTTGAGGAGCATCTACATTTCATACATTGTGGAAGTATTTAAGTTTCTCTACTCTAATTTAAAATTAAGAGGATATTTACCATACTGTCCATCCGGAAAAAAGGCTGCTCTTTTATTTGCTCATGTGATTGCCCACAGAAAACGGTTGTTACGAAATTTCTTTAGCCTTTGAAATCCATTCTGTACTGAGAAACAAATCTTTTAAAAACAGCATCGTCCGTTTTTCAAAAAATGCATTAAATTTCGTATTTGTAAAATAATTAGGATATTTTCGATTTCATCTTTTAACTCTGCATTTTGTTTTAAAAAACGCAAAAACCTGAACAAACTATGATATTTTCAATTCCAGAAACTAAGATTTTGAAGACCAAAAAAATTTATTTACTTAACTTTTTGAAAAACAAAAATGTTTTTCCGTTATAATTTATTTTTTGCCTGGCTGAGTAACTTAATCGGAATATCCATGGAAAAATTCATATAGAAAGTGTTGTTTGAGAAAATCGGAAAATAATTTTCTCTTCAGAAAACATCTAGAAGATCCGCTCTACAACAAAACTTTGTAAAAAGTGCTTTTCGGCCTGTGCAGCTAACTCTACTGCGTATGGAATTCCGTAACATTTTTTGGCGATTTTGTTCAATTTGCAGAAATTTTTCAAAAAGTTAGAACTCAAAAATGAATGAGCTATTTTGTAGACAATTCAATTCTCTACCTGCTTTTTTTGAAACGTTTTAGCGAAAATCTCTTGGTTAGGAAATTGAAAACAATGAGAGGTACTTTTTGCATATCTTTTGTATAAATTTAGTAAAGCAGCTCTCATTGTTTTCAATTTCCTAGCCAAGAGATTTTCGCTAAAACGTTTCAAAAAAAGCAGGTCAACCGATAGAGAATTGAATTGTCTACAAAATAGCTCATTCATTTTTGAGTACTAACATTTTGAAAAATTTCTGTATATTGAACAAAATCACCAAAATACGTTACGAAATTCCAGTTAGCTGGACAGACCGTTTTGTCTCTACTTTTCTTTTTTAGCTAACGAACCGTACTCCTGCTTTCACAAGCTCCACAGAGATGACAAAAACTCAACAAAGTATTCTGGATCAAAAGAGAATTATTCAAAGAAAATATTCCGATAGAATTATACTACAAACTTTAAAGCGAAAGACAAAAAGGATAAATGATAAAAATTTGAAACCTGTATCATGGCCATTGTCTACTTCTGAATTTGTCAACGATTTTGAATTAATACATGAGATCAAAGATCCTCAGTATTTAAATACATTAAAGCTACCTAAAAAGAAACGATTATCATCTTGGGCAGATTTGGCTGTATCAAAACGGACATTATCAAATAAACGTACATGTGCAAATCCAGTAGGCATGTCAGGTAATAAAAACAGTTTTATTATTTTGTGGCTTGATGCGAATAATGTCAACACAGAGTATTTGAATGATGGTTTAATGACGGATCGTAAAATTCGATTAGATACTCTTGTGAATAATATAAAAACATTTAATAATAAAAAGAAATGTCTTGATTATCTTTCTACTATTTTAATTGAAAAAATATTTTTTATTATCTCTGGATCATTTGGTAAAACTATTGTTCCTCTCATATATAAACATGAACAAATTCAATTTATTTATATTTATTGTTTAAATAAAGATAAACATGAAAAATGGACTAAAAATTATAGTGAAAAAATTCATGGAATTTTTAATAATAAAAATGATCTTATTGGTAAATTAACAGAAGATACAGGAATATATTCATCACAAAATATGTTATCTTCAATAAGTATATTCAATTTGAGTAATAAAGAAAAATCAGTTCGAGATTTAAATAAAGAACAAGCAAAATTTATGTGGTTTCAATTACTTTTAGAAATTTTACTTCGTTTACCATCAAGTAAAATTGCTAAAAATGAAATGATAAAAGAATCAAAATTACAATATTATGATAATAAATTTGAATTACAAAGAATTAATGAATTTCAAAAAGATTATCATTCATCAAATGCCATAGCATGGTACACACGTGACTGTTTTTTATATCGTTTATTAAATCGATCATTTCGTTTACAAGACATTGATATCATATTTAAATTTCGTTTTATTATTACAGATCTTTATGATGAATTAAGTAAATTATATCCAAAATTTATATCTTCAAATGATAAAATATTATTCGTCTATCGAGGTCAAGGTATGTTTGTTGATGAATTAAATAATTTAAAACAAAATATTGGTGGACTTATTTCAATAAATACATTTTTTTCCACAACAACATCAAGTGAAGTTGCACTTTTATTTGCTGGTGAAGGTACAGGACGACCGCTTATAGAATCGGTAGTATTCGAAATTGAAATTGATACTAGTAAAATTACTAAACCGTATGCTAATATTGAAAAATTAAGTTATTTAAAAACTGAAAATGAAATTTTATTTTCTATGGGTACCATATTTCAAATTGAAAGTATCGAAGAATTAGATGGTAAAATATGGTATATTAAATTAATATTAAGTAGTGAAGAGAAAGAATTAAACGAATTAATGAATCATTTTAAAAATGATATTGAAAAGACTCCTAATCTATTTACATTTGGAGTTTATTTATATAAAATGGGTGACTATATTAAAGCGGAAAAATATTTTAGAATAATTCTTCGTCAACAATCTATGAATCCACTTGATAAGGCAATCATTTTTAATTGTATTGGAGCATTGTATGATGAAAAAGGAAATTATGATCGAGCATTAAAATTATATAAAAAAGCACTAATACTTCAATTAAAATTTAAAATATTATTTACAGATCCTATACGTCTTTCAATGACGTTTAATAATATAGGACATGTTTTCGATAACAAAGGACAATATAATCTTGCCCTGAAATACTATAAAAAAGCACTTCAGACAGATCGAACGTTGTCACGAGTGAGTGAGAGTGATATTTCAGCTGTCTATGGTAATATTGGATGTGTACAAATTAAACAAGGAAAATTTAGATTAGCTTTAAAAAATTTGACAAAAGCTTTAAATCTTCGACTAAAATATCTACCATCAAATCATCCAGATATTGCTATAACTTATAATAATATCGGACAAATATATTTTCAAATAGGTAGCTATACAGACGCTTTAGATAATTATCAAAAAGCCTTAGATAATCAAGCAAAATATTTGGTACCTGATCACTCGTCACTAGCAACGACATTCAGTAATATCGGTGAATTAAACAGTGAACTAGGACATTACACTATTGCATTAGAAAATTATCAAAAAGCTGTTGATATACAGCAAAAAACACTACCTTTAAATCATCCAGATCTTGCTATTATGTTTGATAATATAGGATGTGTTTATTCTAAGAAAGAAGATTATGATACAGCATTAGAATATTTTCAGAAGGCACTAACAATTGAACTAATTTCTCTTGCCAGCAATCATCCTGCTCTTAGTACAACATACAACAATATGGGAAATGCCTATTATCAACAGCGAAAATATTTGTTAGCATTACAAAATTTTCGAAAAGCACTTAAAGTCAGTTTAGCAGCATTTCTAAGAAAAGATCTGTCATTTGCCTCAATTTATAATAATATGGGATTACTCTACTATCAACGAACTAATTATGTTAAAGCTTTAAAATATCATAAAAAAGCTCTTGAAATTAAACTAATACATTTACCTATACATCATCCCGATCTCGGTTCATCCTATAATAATATTGGATTAATCTATCATAAAAAAGGGAATTATACCATGGCATTGAAAAATTATGAGAAATGTGTTGAAATTAGACTTCAAACGTTACCATTTGATCATCCCGATATAGGGATAACATATGACAATATAGGAATGGTCTACTATGATAAAGAGGATTATGAAAACGCGTTATTATATTTAAAAAAAGCTCTTGACATACAACTGCCATTAAATCAGTCATACCTTGCTGTGACCTATCATAATTTGGCGCAGATTTATTTGAAACAGAAAAATCATGATATGGTCTTAGCGTACTACACGAAATACTTAGAAGCTCAGAACAGATTAACACAAACAAAAACATGACTAATATTCAGGTCAAGTAAAAAGTACAAAAAAGTTTTGTTTTCTGATACGAGAAATTACTATTCCTAAGTGTCAGCAAAAAGCCAGAATCATTTAACGGTGGGAGTCCCCTTCCCCTATATGTGTCCTCGAACTAGGTCAGTTTAAAGAGGACACCTGACTACATATATCCTTAAGTTCTTCCGATGAGGGAAAATATTTAAAAGAGAACGCAATTAGATTGAAAAGAGAACGTTTTGAATTTTTTCGGAGAACGCAAATTGATTGGAATAGATGCTAGCAAATTTTATGTTCTGCCTAATTTTAACCAGATTTGGCTTGACTTGACTTGGAGGAAAACGTTTCAAGGGATGACTTGACCTGACGTGGGAGGAAAAATTTTCTGATCTCAACATGACTTGGCTTGATCTCTGATTTGCCTAGCTCTGCAATGTTGAAGGTTGGCATTATCGACTTAACACATCACTTAACAACGTTGCTCATCTCGGTTTTTACACATTTATCCAATCAATCCAAAATGATCATGCATATAGTATAGATAGCCTTGAAAAAAAAATTGTACAAAAAGCAAAATAGTTTACTGCCACGTAATAAATTATATATTAATTGTAATAATCATTTACATAATTTAGAAGATAGATATAAACAAAATAGTATAAATTTAAACGACTTTTTGTGTAAAGGTATCGAAAACAATAGGTGTTAAAAAGTTTTGATTATTTCTCTAAAACAAGACTATTTTATATGCATGGTCATTTTGAATAGTTATTTGCTCAACTGCTAGAAAATTTATAAAAATTCTATAATTAAAACTATGATTTCGTGTTTTACAACAGACAAAAAAAAGCTGTCGACGAAACAAGACGACCCTGACACAAGCTAAAGATGGATATTCTCTTTTTCCTTCTGTTCACCGCGGTAAATACAAAAAGGGAAAGTAGAAAGAAAAGCATATATTCAGAATGACAAAAAAAGAGAAAGAAAGCAATAAAAGGCGTTAATTTTCACGTAAAACTAGTTTTTCGTCTCTATCTCAAAAAACAGACGCGGAATCTGTAGAAAAACGGAATCAGAATACATATACTTTTATATGTATTGTGAGTATGTCACTGAATAATGCACAGGAACATCATTAGAGGAGAGGAGAGTCGGAACTTTTACTTCGCTGCGAAGGTAACCTTTGCTGTTGTTTTGACTACCTTACATCACAAAGGAATACCAGCAGATTTTCTCTATCCTTCTTCTGAATCAAATCTACCAGTCTTTCTTGCTCGTTACTGAGACTTATCCAGGTTGTGCCCATGCGAATACATCTGAGTTCGAGATTTTCGCTAGATAAACGTGTCCATGAATGCCCATGGACAAACTTCGGTTCTGTTAAGTTGTTCATCGACATAGAAAGGCACAAAAAGAGTTAAAAGTATTTTTCTGAACAATTTACAATTACAGTATTATCTGTTACACATTTCAGATATGTTTCAAATATTCTACTCTACATTCATGTCTACGAACAAGCTGGCCTCCTTCTCTGTGTATTTACGGACAAAAGAAACATTTTGTCTATCCACTTGGCCTGAACTGTACTCTACTTCCATCGGATGTTCTTATCCCTGGGGTTCAAGAGTTCAATCCTATCACCAAGAACATAGGCTAGCGGAGGAGGTGTTTCGAAATATATATCTTTTTTAATGATTAGCTTGAGGTTGCTGAGGTTTATTAGCTTAACTTCAATGTCCGAGCAAACGTTTATTGATCAGAACTCAATTCACAAAATACAGGTGATGTTCAAAACCACGTAATATTTGCTCAATACCCATTTATCGAATATTATACAAATTTGATTTTGTGAATTGAGTTCTGATCAATACCTCAAGCTAATTGAGGTTGCTGAGGTTTATTAGTAATAAGAGTTCCAAAAATTTCTTAAACGCGGCGTGCTGCGACGCATTTAGGCGCGTCTGGCAATTTTTAATCAAAACAACGCGTCTTAAATCACCTTTTATGCAATAATGATGCTTTTACGGCATAAAAAGGGAATTCTAATGGAGAAAATAGAGGATTACGAGCACAATTCCGATTTTTCGCTCCTGATCTAGAAAAAGTGAAATTTTTCAGCAATGGGGAGGAATTTCAAAACTCTGGAGTTATACTTTTTATTGTATGAATCAAGGCGGTTCGAATGGCATATGTCACAGGGTTCCACATCCTCACACGAAAAACTAGATAGCTTTTTGTAATGAGGTCCCAGTTTTTGAACCCTCCGTACCATGAGTCTTCTGTCAAGTCAATTATAGGCTACGAGCTTGTAAAATACATTTTTAAATTTTATTTTTGATGCCGAATCAGAAGAGAAATATTTCGGCGCTTCAAAGTGAAACGTAGAAAGAATGTAGCCATTTTTCGGGAGGGACGATTTTCCTGTTTTTCGAGCTCTCAAAGTATTTTCAATGTTCTACATTCAATATACAACTCATCAAGAACTGGATCAGCATAATTTTTTGAGTATCACAGCAAACTTAACACCATTCAGTGAATATAATCAAAGTCCAAGAAATATGTACCAATGTCAGGTATTTTGAATATCTTCTAGATTTTCCTGACTCTTTTTAATATTTAATGGACTTTTAGACGGCTAAACAAACAATGGGTACTCCTTCATTAGCTTATCGTCGTCGTAATGATAATAAACTTTACTATATCACAACTCCTCAAGCTCCACTTGTACGAATCAGTGTTTATAATCAATATTTGTTGGATAATTATGCTATGGGAACAAATGCTATTGTTGCTGTACTCTCTTATACGATATGAGAAAGATTAACCTCTTCTAATTCAATATTGGTAGGCATTTTATATCTGCCAGGGCTATCATATGGAAGATGCACTGGTTATAAACAAAGGTTCGGTTGAACGGGGTTTCGCACATGGAGCAATTTATGCATCAGAGGTAAACTGAGAAATTAATATGTTTATGATTATTTCAAATCAAATTGCACTCGTATGAGTTGAATAAAAAAATGAGACATGAAATTCGATTAAAATTAAGGCAGATAATATCGAAATTAGAGTTAGATATTTATGAAACAAATATCAAAATAACATATAAATATCATATATATATATGATCGAAAAATTCGATATCCCAAGATCTTTAGAGTCAATCGGGCTGAAACTTTTGGTACAGCTATCCAATACTCAGGTCTATTTCTGAAAAAGTTTTGATTGCTCAACGCATTAAAGAGTGAAAAAGAAAAAGAATCGGTAAAACATTAGTTTTTATTATGTAGAGAGTAAAAACTCAGTATCTCGACAAGGACGAACGGTGGGCATAAAATATTTTTAGGTTTTTTGAGTCTCATCGTGTCCTTCATGTAGTAAAAAGATGGGAGCAAAACTGATCTGACAGTTGGGGATCTTCTTTCGTAAGTTCTAAAATTTTTGTGATCTTGAACAAAATATACATTTTTATTTATGAACCCTAAACTACAATAAATGAAAAGAACTCTTTTTTTGTAAATGTGTGGACAACATTTTGACGGTTCAAACCCATATACAAGAATTAAAAATCTATTGTAATTTTACAGAGTAGTAATCTAGTTTCCCAAAGAGTAACAAGATACATAAACTTCCGCTCTTGTACACAGCTTGATTTTTCTATCCATCAATCCTCCATGTATCTTCTGTTTTAACTTAGTTGTTTTGTGTGTACCGCGCATTTAATAAAAATGTATTTAGAAATATAGACTAGCAATTGGTTCATGTATTGTTCATGTATAAAATCAAATAATTGTATATAAGATTACGTTTTACATTTTTAGAACGATAATATTCATTTATATTAAATGTCTGTAATAAATATTCAACAATATCAATCATATCGTTACCATAGAATTGAATACGAAATGTCATTAGATTCGTTGTTGAAATAAGTGTTTGACTTAAATTATCTTGAAAATTCATTTTGTTTCCTTCACACTGAGAAGAAAACACTAAACTTAAATATTCAAGTTTTGTTAGTGAAAAATACTTTAAAACCTGAAAATAATCGAAGTTGCATTCAGTTGTTGTCAATCGTTTAAGGTTTTTTAATATAGTAGTAGTCGATTTACTTTCAAGAAAATATTCTAATAAGCATGAATAATCAATATATAATTCATATAAATTTCCATAATCGATTGATAAGAAAATTATTTTTAAAAATTTTGAATTTGTAAAATATGCTAAAATTGAAGTAATCTGGTTTAATGATAATAATGAGACATCATCGACAGGCAACAGTTCTTCTAATGGTAATAGACTTTCAAATTTTGAAGAATTAGGTGTACTCAAACCTAAAATGACATGGTAATGCAATATGTTTTAAAATGCACTTTACGATTTGTGTACATATACACTTACATATGTTTATTTTTTTATTTAATATATCTTTTAATTGAAATGATAATGATTGAAAAACAATTGTATCGACGTTCGAACAAAAAGTCGATATATGATTATAGTTAAAAAAAGTCGATGAAATTGAATTTGTTTGTAGTATATTGTCAAACCATGGACTTGTATACAGATAATATTTATTTTCACCATCAACTAAAAAGCTAAACTGAATACATTTCTATATAAACTAAGAAGAGCTTTTTCAAAAGACTTTTTTCTGGGGTTCAAAATTGAAAAATGCAAAATGTTAAAATTTGAGAAAACGTACAATTTAATGTAAAAATTTACAAAAATATTTGAAACAACTCTCGTGACGGACTCTGGAATTCGATTCTGAGCAACTTTTGTACACAGAGTTTTAGTCGAAAATGCTTAGTTCGAGCGAAACTAGCCGTAAGGCTTTCTTCAAGATACTTTTAGCTCTGAAATCCCATCGGAGAGATAAAAGTTCAATTTCTACGTCAAAACTTCACCCGATAATTATTTTGAGTTTTAACAACGTTACCATTTAACGTCATCTATCGAACTACGCTAGAATCAACTCTTCATATCTATAACTGAAGTTTCTAATGAAATTCTAAAACTGGGGCAAAAAACTCGAAAAAAAATTAAATCGCTTTGGTCTGAAATGTTGCTTTAGTGGTGAAATTTAGAAGATACGACCGAAAATCCGCTGAAAATCACTGAAATCACGTTTTCTGCCCTGTTGTACAACTGTTTTCTATTCTCTTTTAGTACCAACGGATAGAACGTTGCATATTGGGTAAAAAATTGCAGAGGTGCCTGGGTTTCTGTCTGGGTCATCTAGGGCGAATATCATCAGAAAACACGATTTTGAAAAACGTTTGAGCTTTTGTAGTTTTTCTAATTTTACATTCGGATTCAGCATAAAATTCTACATCTGCATCACTATCTATTTTAGTTTTTCGATGCTTCCTCGGCTAGGGGACCTCGAAATACCCTTTGTGGCCGAAAACAAGAAAATTGAGGTAAATTGAAGATTACGCCTTATCAAACCATTTCTGACACTTCTAATACCGGTATTGTTGATCAGTGTGGTTGACTACATATTACCAGGTGGGCTTGGAAAAAATCAAAAATGAAAAGTTCTCTAGAAATCAGGCCTCAAAAACCTGACCAAGAGATTTCGCGAAACTAAGTGTCTGGAAATGCTCCTGAGCATCCCCTGACATGGTTCCAATGCAAAAAAGTCGAAAATTTTGTGGACCAGGAAAAGGTCCTACTCCTTTGGTATTATTTTCGACTTGAACTTTTTCTTCTGCTATTATTTCCGTAAAACAGCGTAGCAAAAGTGAGAACTCAGTTTGTGTTTGGTACTTCCAGATGTGCTCTTTCTCATGGTCTGCAAAAAATTCTTTTAGAGTAGATGGTGTGCTTGAGAAAGAAAGTTTTAAAAATCGACAATCCCCATTTCCTACAATGTGCCAAAACAAGAAACGGTAAAAGTGATCGAAGTTACTATGGAAACATTTATTGTTCAAATCGAGAGAGGACTGAAAATAAATAATACTTTGATGGACAGAAGAAAAAAGCAGCTGTATCAATCTTGGAAGAAGATATCAACATTTTCATCATAGAGAAATATTTGTTCAAAACCGTTTCTTTTCTCTGACAAACATGTTTCGAAGACATCACATCATGATGACAGATTTATCGGATGGAAAAAGAAAGGAGTAAAACTTTTGCACATGAAGGAAGAAGCATAGTTGTGTTGAATACATTAAAAGTGGAATGAGAAATTAGAAGATGTTAAATACTATCAATATGATTTATACAACATTCCCATGACCTACAATTTTCTTCTCTTCTTTAGTCATACCTGTTACCTATGTTTCGGCAACTTTCCATTATTCAATGTTTTCAAAATCTGACAATAGATTTGTAAGCAACATTCGATTCTGAAAAGAATAGTCATTTGACATCGTTGATGTAAAAATATTTTCGACGCCTTTACGATAAACGTCTCAATTTGAAAATTTTTTTTCAATAATGCCACAGTAGCTTGAAACAGATGAATTTGTCTATACTGATTACGAATAAATTACAAACATTCAACAGAAAGGTTCACCCACACGATCTTTTTTTCGTATTTATTGCATTATAACGCGTTAGGCATATCGTAATGCCTTGTAATGTGATAGCTTTTCTATTGTCTTATAACGCGATAAATTTAGAAAAAACATGTCTTTATGTATTGTAGCGCATTAGCGTAACGCGTTACGTGAAAAAACTGCCCAAAAATTGAATTTATAGTGTTATAATACATTTTTATCAACGACTTTCTCATATTTTATAATGTTACAACGCTATAAATTTGACTAGCGCGTTACTAGTTTTGTATACCGTTATAAGGTGTTACCAAATTCCTATCGCATTATAAGGTTAATGTATTATACCGCTATAATATCTAATACATTATAACCTTATAAATTTATGGCATGATAATGCATTAACTGTAACGCTATACGTGACAGTGCTAATATGTGTGCTGTGGGAGTTTATACCCTAAGTCTCAGTAACGTATATGTCTGATATAACTGAAGTAATTTTTCCCGGACCAACTTTTCGAGAGGAATCGATTGGCAGTCTCAGAACGTTATGGAAATGTGTCCTCTACGAGAAAACCATGTATTTTCATTTTGGATATTGTCTAACTCGTTGTAATGCATTGATACCTATCGTGTTACACCGAGTTCCAGTTTCTTATCTCATTGCAATGAGATAGAAAAGAATAATGCATTGTAATCTATTAGATATTAACTCGTTACAATACGATATACATTATCTAATGAGTTATAACGCTATAAAAGATTTTTCCACATTTATGGCATTATAATTAGATAAAACATTTAAGCTATTATAACACATTAATTTCTAACGCATTATATTGAAGTAGAAAACTCAAACGCGTTATAATACATTAGAATCTAACGTATTTTAAGGCGGTAGACAAATCTAATTGTGTTGTAACGAGATAAAAAATTGAAATGCATTATAATGCTATAAATTTATAGAGTTGTAATGCAATGAAAATTTTTATCCAGTTACAACGCCATAAATTCCTGAAAATAACTTTGCAACGGGTTATAACACGACGGGTTACGTCAATCACGTTGTAATGAGATAAATCTATAGCGTTCTAATGCCATAATTCTAAAAACAGCATGTTATATAACGCTATAAAATAGAAAAAAAATCCTGTGGATATCGACGAGAAAAGTTTAGTTGACGGACAGTTTTTTCCTGTGGTAAAAATTTGTTAACGTCAAACATCTGTAACTCGATGGAGTTAAGACGGATCGAACCCGTTTTTTCAAATATACAAAACATTCTCCAAGTATAGGAGAGTTACTTAATAAAACGAGAAAGATTGCGCAAGAAGAATTTAATAATTCGTCAGGAATCAATGCTGTCTATTGGATTTTGTGGGTAGTGGCATACTGGTCCGCCCACTTTATACGTGACTTAAAGCCGAAAAGATTTGCCTATATGCAATCGATAGTCCTACTAAAGGTACGTAAGACCCCCTGTCACCCTATGGAAAAACTATTCCGAACACGGCTTTTCCTCGGCCATAAGTTCTGAATTGAAGCGTTTTTAGGGGTGTCAGAACAGCGAAATCCGACCTTATCTAATACTATCAAGCGTTCTCATACTGCTACCTGGAAAGAGCATACAAAATTGCATATTTCTATATGCAGGTGAGGTTTTCTCCTCTGACATTTGGAAAGAATTTTTGACGGGAGGACCTTATCTGCATTAGCAAATATCACTCGTTTTATAGCGTGTTGGACGAGCTCAAAATTCAACAAAACATAACTTTACTTATATTCAAATGAAAGCGGCTTCCAAGTTTGTTCGTATGACGCAACAATGAAGTCTCTAGCACTTTTTACTTCCTCATGGTAAGCGTAATTCCGGTTTTCTAAATTTGTTAACAAATTTAAAAAGACTTTTTTGAGATTGACAAATTGAAGCTCTGATCCCACTATATCGTACCCGCTAGCTTTCACTCTGTTGAAAGGCAAAATGTGGCGAAATGGTAAACAAAAACAAATAAGCTCCCAAAAACCGTGTAAAATCCCAGCAGGAAAGGTGCTTTGACTTCTGTGTCCCCAGTAGTCCACTTTTATGAGTAAAAGATTTTCCACCCATATCATTGATAGGACATCTTAATACATATTTCTTCACGAACACATTATCGAAAACAAAAGCTTTTGTGGGTAAAAAAGTTTCAACAAAACATAATCTTTTAGAAAAATTTCCAATTTTAAGTTTTAATTATTCGGGGTAAAGAGTTAAGCAATATAAACAAACTACGAAGCAAAAAGGAAGAAAGAATAGAAGTGTTAAAAATTGCTATAATTTGCTTAGCTTTCTTCCTAGTAGTTCTGAAATTAAGGTTCAGGTATAATTTTGTAGAGAATTTCACGGCGCTTCTATTAAAAAAAGAATTTGCTCTAGGGGACCTAAGGAACAGGAGTTAGAGCAAAAATATCGAGACCGACATTATTTATGGTACACCCGTTATATGAGAAACGTTTCTAAGCTTATAACTTTCTTACTAGATGAGCTAGAAACATTTATTGTTCAAATCGAGACAGGACTTCTGGGCCATCCTTTAAACTTATACGAATTTAGCCCCTCGTTACCGTTGTGTAGAGCATATTCGAATCTGCAATCTGTGCCCTTTTTAAATTCGTCAGTATTTTATCTATCACAAATAGTTGTCTTTTTTATTTTTCAAAGTTAGAAAGCATTTCTAAACAACAAACTCAAATAGATTTTGACTGGCTTACCAAAACAATGAATTTTATCTGTCCAATGTCCAAGATCGTTCATCCAATAAAAGTCGTTAGATTCTACTAATTCTGATGAAATGAATAAATTTAATTCTTTTAAATTTATTACTTTGATTAATAAATCACCAAACTGTTTTGTTGTAAAAAAACAATCCGATTGACAATTGAAACATAATTTTTCTAATTTTACAAAATTGCCTATTAATTCAATAATTTGGTCAAATACATGTATATTGGCCCGGATACATTTGATTTTAAAAGTAATTAGATTATTTATTGACGATTGTTCCAAAGGTATTCTATTACTATCATCACAAGCAATACTATTTCTCAGATCATTTAATAATTCAATATCAAGTGATATTAAGAATGGTAAGTTCTTTAATAAAAAATAAATATCATTAAAATGACATAAAACTAATGTTAAATATTTTATTGTAGCTGTAGTTGTACGATAATCATCTATAATATGCACAAATAACATTAATCATTCAGATTCACTCGCTTGTCCTTTGACTGTAAGCCTATGGCACTGTAGGGCGAAGGAGTCGATCGAAAGGAGGAATTTACTGACAAGCACATCGCTTCCGGTTCCACACAACACAAATCTCATCGCGCGCTACGAAGACTAGTAACATGTACATATCCTACCAATTTTATCCATTTACCTTACATGATCTGGGACTGGTAATAATCTTAAATCTTTTGGGTAAATCATCAGTCTTCAGAATATGTCTGTCACAGC